GCATTGTGATGATCTGGAGCTGAACTAAGGCCTTGAGGATGTCTAAAGAGAAACAGAATGAAAGTGACTCGTTTGCTTTTTTGTAGCAAATAAAAAGGCTCAACCTTGGAACTACCCAAAAAGTATTTTTATTAGCAGCAAAAGGGTTATTGTTAATCTTCACATTGCTGGGGAACAATGTAGTGCTCCAAACTCCAGCCTAATTTATCACACTCATCTGCTATGGAAAGGACATTTCCAGGATTGATTTCCTGCCAGCAGAAATTGGCATCTTTCTCTTCTCTTGAGGGTTCACCTGGGTTGGCCTAGGTCCCAGAAGGATTGTGGGTGGGAGATGAAGCTTCCTGCCCAGTGAGAGGCTAGATCAGGCTGAGATTCTGTAGTGTCTAAATCCAGATCACACCTACTGCAGCGAGTAGCTACACTCATATGGAAATTACAGGGAAAGTCCTATACCTAGGCTTTTGTTAATAGGAATTTTAGCCAGCAGTGTTAACTTTAACCAAACAAGAATTCTCAGGAGAAAAATGCACCTTACTCTGTTGACCTGTTGATTGGCATCAGACTGCTCCTTGTGCTCTTCTAAATTGTTCCCTTGAATTCTCTCACCTGATGGGTTAAATACTGTTTATTCCATTTGGCAGGTGCATTCTGTATCTGTAATGATGGCTTTTGAAAACAGCACTTGCCCAAGTGAGATTAGCTGAGAAATGAGAGGCATAGGAAGTGACAATGAAGAGCAGTCAGGTATTACAGCTAAGGAATTCCAGTTGAAGGAAAACGAAGCATTTGGAGGAAATACCCTCTGCTTGTCTTCCCCAAGGGCACAGCAGCAAATTAAGGTTGTCTTTTCTTTCTCATCTTATGAATATTACAGGGAACCACAGAGGAAAAGATACAGAGGTGGAACAGTAACCCAGAAGGTGATACATGTCCCTGTCACATCTGTGGCACACAGTGCATGTCATCTTTAAAAACAAAGATTGATTTATTCATTTTTGTTTATTTGAAAGGTTGGGCAACAGGGAGGGAGAATGTCCTTCCACAGTTTACTTGCCAAAATGCTCACAACAGCTGGGGCTGGGCCAGGCCAAAGCCTTGAGCAAGAAACTCCACTTGGGTCTCCCACCTGGGTAGCAACCATCATCTGCTGTCTCCTTGGTGCATTAGCAGGAAACTGGATCATAATGCAGATGTGGGACTTCATCCTAGGCACTCCAATAAGGGATGCAGGTGTCCCAAGCAGTGGCTTAACTCATTGCACCACAATGCCTACCACTTTGCCTTTATAATAGGCAGTTCAGCCACACCACAAACCCACATGGTTAGGAACTGACATGTTTATTAAGGCCATTTGGATTGTGTGTGCAATATGTGTGTACACTCTTCCAATTAAGAGAGCCTGAACACTGCATTAACAATAGATATTACATGTTACTCCCCTTTAGCCACCCCATCGTAACTTAAAATTTGCTTATATTATGGCAAGTATAGGTAGATTACTCCCAATAATTTTATTAGTATGATATGTTAACTAATTGATATCAGAGTCCAAAGAAGAATACAAGAATGCATATGTTGCATTATAATACTGGGGTTTTTTTAAAAGGGGAAACAAACATTCATTTTTACCAATTAATCATGTCTTACCAATTTTTACATATTTATGTTAAATATTTCTAGTTGCAGAATAGCAATAAGCTGATTTTCCAATTAAAAAGTACATGTTAATCATTAGAAAGGCCTGTAATGATAGAAGTGGGCACTTTGTCCAGGGGTTAAGATACCAACTGGGATACCTGTACCGCATATGAGAGTACCTGGGTTTAGTACCTGGCTGTGCTTTTGCTCATATAGACCTTGGGAGGCAGTGGTGAATGGCTCAAGTAGTTGAGTTCCTGCCACCACATGAGAGACCTGGATGGAGTTTCTGGCTCCTGGCTTTGGCCTGATTCAGCCCTGGCCCTTGGGGGCATTTTGGGAAGTGGACCAGAGGATAGGAGGTCTCTCTCTCTTTCAAATAAGCAAAACTTTTTAAAGAGTACTATTATGTTAGTAGCTACCCCAGAAGAAAAGTAAAATTCCCCCATTATCCCACCACTTAGCAATAGCTATATTGTTTTCAATATATGCCCTTCCATACCTTTTCTGTGCTATATTTATATATTTATAAAAACAGGACATATCCTTTTAACTTGCTTTTTCTTTGTAACAATGGCTTTCATTCATGAACAAATCTTTTCTGAACATGTATGAGATTCTAGTCATTGTTCTAAGTGCAGGGGAGATTGCGGCAAAAAAGCAGTGGAGCACACATATGAGGTTACTTGAAGACATTTGCAGACAAATGTTATTAAAAAGATGTTTATTTTAGTGCAAAAAATTTCAAAATCCATGCATACAAGAAGTCTTCAAAAGTTCATGGAAACTAGCCGGCGCCGTGGCTCAATAGGCTAATCCTCCACCTTGCGGCGCCGGCACACCGGGTTCTAGTCCCGGTTGGGGCGCCGGATTCTGTCCCGGTTGCCCCTCTTCCAGGCCAGCTCTCTGCTATGGCCAGGGAGTGCAGTGGAGGATGGCCCAGGTGCTTGGGCCCTGCACCCCATGGGAGACCAGGAAAAGCACCTGGCTCCTGGCTCCTGCCAGGATCAGCGCGGTGCGCCGGCTGCAGCGGCGGCCATTGGAGGGTGAACCAAACGGCAAAGGAAGACCTTTCTCTCTCTGTCTCTCTCTCTCACTGTCCACTCTGCCTGTCAAAAAAAAAAAAAAAAAAAAGTCCATGGAAACTACTTTGTGGGGAGCAGCTCGGACTAGACTGTTACTGGAATTAAGACTTATTCTATGCCCCTGACCTCCCACAATATGGCGGTGGGAAAAAAGAAAACAGTTCTACACAGCTGCCTCCGGTCCAACCAATAAATTGTAGAATTGCCCTTGATTGGAGAGGAGCAGTGTACTCGGCGTTGGGCAGCCGAGTGGGAATGGCAAAGGAGACTATAAAGGAGGAGAAGAGACGCATGCACCAGGAACATCTAAGGGAACATCTAGGGGAACACCTGTGCAGCCCCGAGAGAGCCGCCGGCGGTGTGCCGCTTCCCCCGCGGAAGTGGGAATGTGCAGGGGGACCCGCCCTCAAGGAGGTGGGAGGGATGTAAGCCAACCCGGAAGGAACCAACAGCAAACCCGGGGAGGGCCGAGCAGACGAAAGAACAGCGCAGGGTCCTGTGTCGTTCCTCCACGAAGACGGGGAGCGACATAATGGTGCCGTGACTCGGATATGAAGCCTAGGCAGGGTTCTGTGTCGTTCCTCCACGAAGAGGGGGAGCGACATAATGGTGCCGTGACTCGGATATGAAGCCTAGGCAGGGTTTGGTGTCGTTCCTCCATGAAGAGGGGGAGCGACATAATGGTGCCGTGACTCGGATATGAAGCCTAGGCAGGGTTTAGTGTCGTTCCTCCATGAAGAGGGGGAGCGACACTACATATTAATGAAAAAAAGTATGTATTTCTTTTTTGTTTTTTGAACATGCATGTATTTTGAAAAAATTTTACTGTAATTCCATTTTTCCATGAACTTCTTGAAGTGCCTTTGGTATATACTGTGCATCTTTCTATAATGATATATGTAAATATATAAACATTTGTTTATATATAAACATAATTGTTTCAATAAATGCATAGTAAGTATTCAGTTATATAGATTTATCATAATTTACTCAATGAAATCTTCCATTCTTGGATGTGAAGATACTGATTGTTGGATTTTGTCAAATATAAAGGAAATGCACTTTGACCATTAGTGAATCCAAATCCATGTTAAAATTATCTCTGCTAATAATAGGATTCTGCTTGTAGTATTACTCTTTAAAACAAGACTTTATAACATTGATATGATTCCTGGCAGATGTGGCTACAGATATGGGAGGGGTCCCAGCAGTCTCTCTTGACAGTTGACTGGAGATCTTGGTGGTGTCTGACATTGCTTCTAACTACACTTCTGTCTCAAAGCCTGCGCAGAGCCCCAGTTCCAGTCCTTATAAATGACACTTAGTTGTTATCTTAGATTTTTGTTCCTTCTCAGCCATGTATGGTTATAGAGTGATGTGGGAGGTTGAGCTTCTGTGGATTCTGGAAGCATTTTTTCTGCCCTTTTGATGAGAATTTCTGCTCTTTTGTTCTCTGTCCAACAACCAGCAGGCCACCTTCCTGCCCTCTGTGGGAGTCCTGCACACAGTGACATGAACTGATGTCACAGCATCTGTTGGTGGTTTCAACACAGTGCTTAATGTTCTGTGTAAAGCAAAACATACCCAGATGAACATATCCAGAATTTTGCAGCTTTAGAGCTAGCATAGATTATATCCTCATTTTATGGACAAGGACTCCGGGGCACAGAGGTTGAGTAATTTGCCTAAAGTCACATAGTCAGTGGTAGAGTTGGAACTAGAAGTTGAGATGTCTAATTTCTCGTCCAGTGTTCATCCCAGGGAAATCAGCTATTCCAAGTTTGTGATGGGTTCATGTAGGATCCTTGTACTGGGTCAGGGAACACCATTGATTTGGAACACTTCTATCTGGTCTCCAGTTAAAATGTCTTCAGTAGCACACTATGCCAGTTTCTCAAATAGGGGGCTTTTATGTAAGTCTTTACTTTGTTCATCGGGGAGAGGCTTTTTAGATGGCAGGCTATTTGTGGACCAGAATTCAGTGAGTATTCTCAGTGCCAGCACACTTTCTACCAGCAGGCTATTAAATGGCCTCAGCCTTTAGGTTAGTGCTTGTTACAGCTCATTGAACCAGCTCTGCAAAGCTAACCACAAGCTGTGTCTCTTTCAGATGAAACTGAAACTATCAGGTTCATGATCGCATTCATCCCACTTGGACCGTCTGAAAGATTCCACTCAGATTTTGTGGTAGTCACATTTTCTTCTGGACAATACTGGAATTTGGTTTACAAAGAAACCCAGTGGCAAAGAACTAAGAAAGTTTGCAGTACTTACTGTTTTCGTAATGTCAACTGCATACTATCTTTGTTAATGGAGCACACAGCAACATATTTTAAAAATACTGGGATTTTCCGAGAGTCCACACTTAGGTTTTTACCGCCTGTATCTGCCACAAGTAGCCTTGGGCAAGTTTCCTCATCTGTAAAATAGAAATGATGGCAATAAAGATGTTGGAAAATTCTAATGAATTAGTATTTGCAAAGCACTTAGAACACTTTCTGGCATGTGGTAAGGACTATGTGTTTGCTATTGTTACTCTTTTTCATTCCATTCATTCATTCATTTATTCAATAACAATTTATATGTGCTCTGCACAATGCTAGATAATAAAAAAGAGTCTCTTTCAGCCCTCAAAGAATCTTACCTTTTAATGTGCTGAGAGATATGCTTGACACTGTAGGTATACAGTATACACCTGAGAGATATGCTTCATACTGTAACTGTAGGTGTTCAATAAGGAAAGTGCTATAATGGAGGACTGTCGAGTGCAGTAGCAGTGTAGGCAAAGGAGCATCTAAGGGGAAGGCTTCTTGTGACATTTGAGCTGGAACAAGAAGGATGAGTAGGAGTAGGAGTTAGCCGGTAGGCATCAGCAGCATAGGCATTGTAGGCGTGTACATTGGCACAAAGGCATGAAGGGATAGCAGAATACTCATAACACAAAGTGGCAGAGTGGAGCATGGTTTGAAGACAGTCAAGGAGACACACAGGTAGGAACCAGAAAGGCCTTCTAAATGCTACAGAGGCTCCTGTGAGAGATGATAAGGACCAGAATTTGGGCAGCAGCTGTGCCACCTAGGCATCCTCACTGAAAGGGAGCTCAACAGGTGTAAGAGGTAGGAAGGAGCAGTAAGAGCAGTGGGCATGCCTGCTGCACAGGTAAACCTATTCTGTAGTTGACAGGAGACACATCCAGATGCTATTCTGATATCTGTATAGCTCCTCTCTGAAAATTAAAGGGCCATTTATATATGGGCATATAATATGGTGATATATATTTATATTTTGGGTTTTGTCCACAGTTCCTGTCTTTTAACTCTTGTTATTTCCTAAATGACTAGAACACTAAGGTTAAAATATTTGGCCTTTTGTTCTTGGTTCCTGAAGCAGCTTGGAGATAGCTTCAGAGTAATAAAGGTGCCATCACTCTTTTGTTAACAATGTTGTAGCACTGTAAACTCAGACACAGGCCTCAAATAGCAAAATCTCTCTCTGGCTGTCTCCTGCTCTCCTTTTGGTTGCCCCCTTTTTCCTGTAGAAAGGCAGTAGAAATTAGGATTTCTCTTCTCCAAGACAGGTCATAGAAACTAAAAATAGACACTAATCCTCCTGCATTTTTTTGTTTTGGAGTCAGCCATGAATCAGTTCCCTTACAGTAGGCCCTAAGACTCCCATTTCAGATGGGGTCTTCCCCATACCTAGGAGGAAGAAACGCTGCCCAGGGAAGCCAAGAAGAATCCAGACAGGCTTTGCTGGGTTCCCCACCCAGTCTACTCACTTTATAGACCATCTTGCCCAATCACACTTCTCCATGGTTGTCGACACTTCAGTTAGTCTCCAGAAACAGCTTCTGGACAGCTGAACACACGGAGGCTTACAGGAAGGCGAACAAGACGCGGACTCCAGCTCCACTGGACAGAAGCTCCTGCACTTTGGCCCCGCCCAGCCCCCACCCCATGTGTCTCTTCATCTGCTTATTGTCTTCCTAAAAGCCTCCTTTATAAGCCACCAGCAACCATGTTTCCATGAATTCCACGACTCTTTCAGAGAATGCTGTCAAGCCTTAAGAAGGTGTGTAGAAACCCTAAGTTGTAACTGGTTGGACAGGAGGCCTAGACTTGGGACTGGTGTCTAAAGTGAGGGCGTCTTGTGGGGCAGAGCCCTCAACCCCTGTAATCTGATACTTTCCCCAGGTAGACAGCATCAGAATTAAACTAGTTAGATGTCCAGCTGGTGTCCCCTGCAAAATTGCTTGCCTGATTGCTGGTTGGGAGAAATCCCCATGCATTATTGGATCACAGAAGTTGTGAGTGTACAGTAAGTGTTGTAAATGTATGGAAAGAGAAACTAAGTTTGTTTCTCTTCTATATCCTCAGGACACTTAATACATTTTTACTATGTTTTCATGGCATCACAACAAACACCAACTATGCCTATTTTCTTTGTTTTATGTAATGTTTCTGAAACAGAAATGCATTCTAGGTAGCTTTCAGTAGTCAAAACTAGATGAAAACAAACTCAAACCCTAAGAATAAGTAGTTTAGCTCTGTGATTACCTTTTGAAAAGCACATCTAAACACACTTGGTTAAAAGTTAAAATTATTGCCACACACAGGATTTACCCTACTTTTCTCTTCCTGTTCTTCCTGAATTAATCTTTAATTCCTCTAAATAATTTGGAAGGCGTCCCTAAAATAAAGCTTTAAAATTGGACACTTACATAGTCCAAAGCAAGCTGTAATGTTTTGTAACATTTTCTTATAAATGTTAAATGAATGTATGGCACAGATTCCTTACTCAGTAAACAGAACTTTTACTTCCAATTCCATTACTGTCTGAGTCTAGTTATAAATTGTTAAAGGAATTTGAGGAGGCAGAATGAGAATTCCCAGAAGTGCAATACAACATTTTATATTCCTTTTTAATTTTAAAAAATTACATTAAAATCAATTATAAGGTAATATATTATATATATAATAACTACATATATATATAGTTATTCTTTAGTCTCCATGAGGTATTGATTCTGGGACCCCTCCTTCCCTCCCTACTTAGGATAGGAAAACCTGCAGATTCTCAAGTCCCTTATGTAAAATAGTACAGTACTTGTACATAATCTATACAGTCCTCCTGTGTATTTTAAATCATCTCTAGATTACTTATAATACCGAATAAAATGTAAATGCTATGTAAATAGTTTCTAGACTGTATTGTTTAGGGAATAAAGACAGCCATCCATAGCTAGTTGAATAGGCAGATAGAGAACCCATAGATACAGAGGGCTGATTGTGTGTGTGTGTGTGTACACATGAGAGGACTTCAAAAGACTAATGGAAACATATGAGATAAGTTTATTTTGATGGAAAAAAAGTTTGAAATTCGTGCATGATTTTTTTCACAATACTTATTTTTCATGAACTTTCTGACCCCACACAAATGGATTTTTTTTTTTTCCCAAGTTATATCCTTCAGTGGGTTCTTTCTTCCAAATACTGCTAGGACTTCGATTTGCATGTTGTGCCTCCACAAAGAATTATTCTACCACTGCCCATATTATTATTTATTCTCCTTATTTGCCTGAGAAGTGAAGAGATAGGAAATCACCTCTTCCTACCCACTCTTTTTATAAGGACAATGACACTGAGTAATTAAAATTAAAGGGGACTGGCATCATGGCATAAAGCCACTGCCTGCAGTGCCAGCATCCCATGTGCATACCTGTTCTAGTCCTGGCTGCTCCACTTCTTATCCTTCTCTCTGCTATGGCCTAGGAAGGCAGTAGAGGATGACCCAAGTCCTTGGGCCCCTGCGCCCACATGGGGGACCCAGAGGAAGCTCCTGGCTCCTGGCTTCGGATCCGCTCAGCTTTGGCTGTTGCAGTCATCCAGGGAGTGAACCCTCAGATGGAAGGCCTCTCTCTCTCTCTCTCTCTCTCTCCCTTTCTTTGTCTCTGCTTCTCTGTAACTCTACCTTTCAAATAAATAAATAAATCTTTAAAAAACTGAATTAAATTAAATTAAAATTAACATTAGGCAGGGTCCTCAGCAGATGAGCTGGAGTTTCTGTGCTAGAGGGTAGGTACTGAGGTTGCATGCATGGGCAATAGAAAGTGGTGGCAGTTTTGAAGAACTATTATAATCCAGGCCTCCGAAGTGGGTGGACTCTGGAAGACGAGGCTGGAATAGGAAGGAAGTAAAGAAAGAACCAGCCTATTTGCATGCTGAGGGCATAGAGTTTGTGTTGTAAACAAATGGTAGTGAGCTATTGAGGAGTTTTTTGTTTTTTTTTTTTTTTTTCCAGGACCCTTGAATAATTTACTGTGATTCAACATGCACCAGACACAGGCTAGTGAGGAATTTTGAGTAGGGGAGTCATAATGAGATTTCTAGTTAAAAAAATTTTTTTTCATTTTATTTTAAAAGTAGAGAGACACGGAGAGAGAGATCTTCCAATCTGCTGTTCACTTTCCAAGTGCCCATAGCAGCCCACACTGGGCCAGACTAAAGCTAGGAGCCTGGAGTTCAATCTCCATTTCCCAAGTTGGTGGCAGGGACCCAAGTACTTAAGCCATCTTTTGTTGCATTCCAGTGCATTAGCAGAGAGCTGGATCAGAAGCTGAGGAGCCTGGACTCAAACTAGGCACTCTGATTCAGGTTGCGGTCACTCCCAAGTGGCAACTGAACCACTTCCCCAGGTGCCTCCCTCAGACTGCCATTTTAACTATGCCCTGAAGTGGTCTGGAGAATGAAGTGAAAGTAGTGATGTGAAGCAAGGAGGATGTGAGGAAGAAAAATGAGTAATGAGGGTCAGGTTGAGACACCTCTTGGGATGCCCATTGGAAAACCTGGGTTCGAGTCCTGGCTCGGCTCCTGATTCCAGCATTCTTGTTAGTGTGTACCTTGGGAGTTAGTGGTTTGGACTCAAGTGATTAGATTCCTGCTGCCCACGTAGGAGATCTAGATTGAGTTCTGGGCTCCTGGTTTCAGCCTTGCCGACCCCCCACCACCCAACTGTGGTGTGCATATTAGGAGTGAACCAGAGGATGGAAGATCAGTCTGTCTCTCTTTTTCAAATAAAATAAATGTTAAAAAAAAATTTAAAAGGTCACAGATGAGACTGCTGCTGTCTCGATCCACATTGATTTAATCTTGAAAACCTGAATTAAGGGAGAGCAGTAGAACTGGAAAAGCCAATGGATTCCAGAAACGTTCAGATAAAATTAGCAGGCCTCTTTGTCCTGACTGTCAATGAACAACTTAATACTTTATCCCTTTTAGTATTTTTTTTTGTTTGTTCTACTTAATACTATTGGTTGAACTCTGTAATTAACACACAATTATTCTTAGGTGTTTAACTTTAACTGAAAAGTGATCCCTGTTAAATATAAGAGTGGGAATAAGAGAGGGAGGAGAGGT